GGAGGAGAATTGAAAGTTTTGAAATGGCATGTAAAAGTTGAAAAGTATTTTCAAAGGAAGGTTGTAAAACATGGTAAGATGATTTCTGAAAGTGAGGATGGGTTTGCTGTTATAAGTGAGAAATTGCTCAGCATAGGAGTGGAAAACTGGTTTCAAGGTGTTAGGTGGTGGGGGGCGTGCCTTAGGGAAATAGGCATACAACCAAGCCTGAAAGAGCTAGAAGGGGCCACCACAGTTGCCATAAATCTTCTTGTCGACAAAGGAAAATAGGGCCTTGTAAAGGGTGGCAAGAAGATAAGGGGCTAAAGCCATAGCTTGGCCATCTTGCATACACAAGGCAAGGGGAAGGTATTCCTTGGTGATCTTGTACCCAGGGACACAAAAAAGAAACTGACAAAGCTAAACTAAGTAAAAAGCAATTCTTTCTTTGTCCTCGACAGGGGAACCAAGCTCGCCTTTGTATTTTTGGGTGAAATCTATATAGCTCATGTCAATGTTTAAAGTAAAGGTCACTTTTGGAGGCTCAAGGAGAGCATGAATTTGATTGCCCAAGATTGGGAGACCAGTCAAGTGAGCTACATCTAAGATGGTAGAGGAAATCATACCAAAATTGAGGAGTAGAAAGTTACAAGATTGCGACCAAAAGCATGCAGCAACAGTAATCAGCCCTTTGTCCATGTCATACTTTTTGGTCGATAGTCTAATTGCTTCACTAATGCCCTGGTGCTTCCATACTTCAGAGTCATGACCTTCAATTCTCCTGGCCCTGCTTTGCCAAACAGGGTCTGGTGACCTCCACGATCTGAGTGGATTTTTGCTGACATTCCAGTTAGTCGACTTAAGTCTAGGTTAGTTGAGAAGAAGGTTCTCACCATTACCAAGGGGATAGTATGGAGCTAGCTCGTCTGGGAAGTAAGACGTGAAGGTAGGGCCTAGCGTAGCCTTAGCGACACAGCTTGTGCTAGGCAATAGGGTAATACCTAATTTTAGAGGAGTGATAAGTGCTCTGATAGGGTTTGGGAAGCGAAGTAGGTCTTCATTGTTGTCCTCAGATGGAGATGGTTGAGATTTTTTGGGCGCCATGGCTTAGGGTTTTGTGGTGCTGTGGTTTTGAACGGTAATGCTTGAGAAGAAAGAGTCTAGTCTAAGGAGTTCGAATCAGAGGGGAATGAAGTTGAAGTGGTTTAATGTTGAAAAAGTGGGTCTTTTATAGCTTATGATGAGGCCAGCATATTTAAATGCTCTTATATTGGGCTGTAGTTTATGTTTGTTTTGGGCCCATATTAAGAAATTTGCTATTAGACTTATCTCTTGGGCTCAGGGGAATAAATCTCTGGGTCAAGTACAAATTGGGCCCAACTGGTAAGTTTGTTGAAGGTTAAATCATATGATATTTAACTTCAACAATGGGGCCATTGTTTGCACCAAGTTTTGCCAGTCTCTGTCGACAGATGGTCCACTTAATAGAGGACGCGTGCCCAAGTCTGAAGGAATGTCCAGCAGTTAAAAGTGAGTTCTCTGCATGTGGGTCACCTAGAAGTGATGGGGGCAGTTTTTCGCACCAGTCATGGAGTTAGTGGGCACACTTTCAGGAGGAAGCATGAGACAAAGCAGGAGCCTTCCTCTGTCAACAAAAGTTCCAAACAGTTGGTGGCCATGAAATAAACTGAAGAAAAGGGAGATCGACAGATAAAAGTGAAGGTTTAGTACACTTGGAAAGCCTAGAAGGGAGATCATGGGTTTTGATATCCCTATACTATTTTTGTGGCCCATCACTGCATGATCTCATACTTCTACGCCATAACTGCCACTGTAATTGCCCCTTGACTTCGAATCTTCAAACTCTGCCAAATATTGACTCTTCCCTGTCGACCTTCCTTTTACCATTGTGGCGCATGTCCCTCATCATTATGAGACAAAAATTGACAGAATATTGTCCACTAAACACAACCACAATCCTTGCAAACTGGGCCACTGAACCACAACACTTGGCCACTCACTGTAACTGCCCCTTGACTTTGAATCTTCAAACTCAACCAAATATTGAATTTTCCTTGTAATTTAATCAATAAATTCAATGTCGGTAAACTTGTTAATATTTGAAATACTCTTTTTCTGGATTGTGATGACTTAAACACAATTATTGTCCTACATTTTATGTAACCACAATACACAACTTATTTATATTGAAAACAAAATATACATTTCGGGTTTATAATCATAAAAATGGAAACTACTTTTTTTTAAGGTTCACTCATATTTTCAGCTAAATTATGATCGGTTATTTTTAAAAAATTTCTCTTTGCACCTATTTTTCCCACATCCTGCCAACAGGTGCGCTATTCAATTAAGGACACATGGCAAGTCCACCTGAAGACAAGCGTTATCAACTAACATTGAATCTTGCATGCCACCTGACTTACATGGTGGAGCAATTACTGGCAGTGATCATTAATTTAGTGGCCAGCCTCCAAAAGGAAACATGAACGAATTGGGAGTCTGTATCTGTCGAGAAAAGGCTAAAAGGACTTGGGCACAGGTGGCAACTTCAAGGATATGCACTTCGACAGGTACAAGTAAAGGTTTTATGTGGTTTGAAGACATGGAAATGACCGTGCAGTCACAGAAGTTGCACAGAAGCAGTTGCAGATTCGGTAGATCATGGGATCGTGGGAAATAAGAGCTATAAAGGGCAGAAGGTTTGCAGAGAGAGATGACATAAACAAAAACACAATAACTTACTTTCTACATTGTAACTTCTAAGCAGTTTTTTCCCTTCTAATTTGTACTTTGTCACTGGGTGAACTTTGGTGATTTCAACCTCAAATCAGCAAAGGTTTATCTTCTATGATTTGTTACCATTAGCTCATATCAGAAACTTCATTTTACTTGTTTACTTTGTTACCATCAGTTCATCGAAATAAGTCTTCATCCTTTTTAGGAATTCGAACCAATACCACAATTGCGTGATTTTCTTCTTTAAATTGTCAACTTTAAATTACTGCTTGGTTGCTGCCAATATAGGCCTAACATAATTTTACTAACAATAAACTTATCACTTTCATCGTTAACATGAAGTAATTTCATAACTCATGTTCGTAACTCGTAATTCATATAGCAATCGGTATAGAGATAAAGTAAACGTGTTCGCTAGGTTAGTTTCTCCAAGTAATATCCAAAATTAACTGCCACTTGGATTATATACAAAATGCATGTGCTGGGATATAATTTTGCAAAACCACATGGACAAAATTCGTATTGTACTCGAAATATAATAGTAATTTACCGAAACAAGTCATAACAAATCAATACGAAGCCAAACATATCGTTAGTTGATAAACCACACCGCAAGAAACCCTTCAGTTAGATCCAACCAAATATGAAACACAAACAAGAAACCCGCAATAGGAATCTTGGAATACAGACATAAGCCAATTTCTAACTCAAAACAATACACAGACAACCCATATATATCTCACCTTCAATTACTTTTCAAAATGACAAGTCACTACAAACACAAATGACAACATCACTCTAAACAATATGGGAAATTACTGTTCCTGGCCTTGTACATAAGTAACGTTGTGCCATTCCTAGCATTGTACGTAACCAATTATTAACACGTTCCATACAACAATCCATGCAAAATGAAAACTACATACATATCTACCCTGTTCTTCGCAATGATGTGTTTTCAATAGCTAGTACTATCTACCCAATAAATTAAGGGAATAAGTAAATCATACAAATTATACAATTACCTGATTCACCTCATCAATTGTGGTCGAATCATTTTTGCACACTGCTGCTTTGACACTACCGTATTGGCCCACAGGTTGTTTGGAATCAGAAGAAACATCGAAAAATAGTCGTTGTTGCTTAATGTGCGGTGTACTTGGATCCACCAACCCAGGTTTGCAGCGAATGGAAAATGACTCCGCATTGTACTCATGGTCAGTGATGTGGGTTGTATCTGTATCTGAGTTACTATCCACTATTCAGCCAAACTGAACCTTAGGACATGTTCGCTTTGTGTGCCCAATGCATTTGCAATTCCCATATTTTCGTGGTCTTTAACAGTTGGATGAGGCCCGTCCCGGGTTCCCTTTTGTTTGCACAAGATCAGGATCTTCTACTCCAAATTGTCATGGGATTGAATGTTTCCCTTTATCTCCATCCCCATCGTTCAGATTTCTCTTATATAACTCCTTTATCCGGCTCGTCATCGGAAGACATGCATCCCAAGCCTCTTTGAAACCTTTCGTTGATTGCGAGGCATAGAAACACATTTCATTGTAGAATGAACTCAATATCCCATACAAGGCCGTCTATGTTGTAGTGTTATCAATTAAGGATTGACGCCATTGCTGGCCATCCTTGCTTGCAGCCTTTGTCCATTTATGCAGCACACAAGTTGGGGAAATTTGCATTAAATTTTCAGCTTTCATAACACACATCATGTGACAGCAAGGTAGCCCCAATGACTCAAACTTCACGCAAGAACATCTTAATGCAGCATCCACTAGATTGTGTGTTACTATCCATGATCTATCATTCACCTTGTACTTATGAATATAGTAGCATTTCTGACCATCCGGCAAAGGGAACACGTCCTTCACATTCAACTTCCCCTCTTCTACGATTTCATCACGGAACATTCTAAATATATTTCAGGTGAATAGCTCAGCTCCATGTCTCTCTATATCTCGCAATGGAGTAATCAATACCGGAAAAGTGTTATTTGTTTCAGCATTATCTCCAGCCTCGTTGTACCTTATCCTTGCAAGAGCCTGATCATAGTGCCTAACAAATTCATATAGCTTCAATTTGTGTTGGAGGAAGGGATTGAAATAAGCATTCATACTCTCCGAGCGCTGAGTTCTCTTCATCCCAGCAAAGAAATGTCCACGCATATATGCCTCAACCCACATATGACGCTTCTCATATGTCTCCAACACCCAGCTATTGGTTTGAAGTCCAAATTTTTTGACCATTCTCGTCTAGCCATCTTCAAACTTTGCCTCATCCCTTTCCATGTCCATGCACTGCTTGAAAGCATGTGCAAAGCCACTTTTGTGAATATTTGAAACAGCATTTTTCCTAAGATGCCAATTACCTAATCGATGTCTTGTGTCTGAAAATACTCTTCTGATTGCCTCTCGCATCGCCTTATCCCCATCTGTCAGTACGGACACAGGTGCTTTATTGCCCATCGCCTCCATAAATGTTTCCAAAACCCATGTGTGTGTATCAATTGTCTCATTAGCTAGCAAAACACATGCAAATATCGTGGTTGTGAAGTGGAGAGTCACACCAGCCAACATGACAAAAGGTTTCTTGTACGCATTGGTTCTGTAAGTTGAGTCAAATCTCAACACATCACCAAACTTTGTGTAGTTAGCCCGCGATTTCGAATCTACCCAGAACAGATTTTGTAACTTGTTATCCTTGCACACATCATACTTGTAAAAAAAATGTGGGTCAACATCAAGTTTTGCACATAGGTCAACCAACGCACCCTACACATCACCATCCTCAACTTCTGCTCTACATTCTGCTTGAATATGGTTGTGCAAATTCGTACGGATGAAACCAACATTCTCATAAGACTCGGATTGATTTACCATATAGTCCATGATTTGGCTAGTCTTCACACCGACGTTGCGCATAGCCATTGCTTGAGCTTTGTCAGCGCTGTTTAAACCGCGATGTGATCTCAAATACATCACACAGTGTTGTTCCGCCAATTCATGGTTGTGATCTGCAACGAAGTGAGTCACAACATACTTTCCCCCTTCACCAGCATCTGGATCATACCGTATGCGAAATTAGGCTTTGCAACCTACTCTTGTTAGTGCCTTGGGAGCTCTACTCTTCTCAGCAACACGGTCCAAGTATTTTGGTAATCTCTGACCTTCCTTTGAACACAACCACGGCCTACTAACAACCTTTCCCTGTTTATTTGTGTTAAATCTGGATTTTCGTATACTAAATCCCTTGGCTTTAGCATACGCATTGTAGAAAGCATCTCCATCTTCGGCCGAATCAAAAATCTGTTCCAGAAGAGCACGTTCAACATCACCAACCATGTCATTCCGATGAGCATCGTCAACCATTTCTTGTTTCACATCAGCTCCGCCATTTTCAACGTTCATGTTGGTTGCTTCTTCATTGCTCGGACCAGCTTCGCAACCATGATAAGGCTTCGCCCCACTTTCATTGATCAAACGAATGTCATCTGCTTCATTTGGAATGTCATAATCATCACCTTCCCTTTTCACTTCCGCTGGGGCCATACTGTACATGACATTAGTACAAACAATTACTTGATGACCGAAAAATGTTAACACAAACACAAACATGACATTTGCACACGGTTGAATTATTCTTGCAAACACAAACACTTGATTGAGAAAGAGAGAGGTTAGTTGCCAATGAAGGGGTTTCCGTTTGAGCGAAATGTAGAGCGGTTGAAGTTAGGATGGGGGTTTAGTTGAGGGAAAATAGTTGAAGTGAAGAAGCCAGAGAGAGAGAGAGACAGAGAGAGGGAGACAGCTCCATACCTCATATCTAGTTAAAGAGGGCGCCTTCACTTCAGCAATGGAATCAACACAGCCTTCTAGTTCTATCGTTGTTGGAAATCGCCCGTTATACTATTCCCTATAGAGCTTCGTCAATGGAACCCAGCAAGGGCTTCTTGTTGTTAATGAAAATCAAGGGTTGCACACTCAACCTTACACAGAGAGGAGAATAGAGAGAGAGAGAGATACAGATGAAATAGAGAGAGTGAGTGGTATGCAATCATGCAAATACGAGCATTAACCGATTGCCCCAGTTTTAACTTTTTTACAATTAAACAATTCAATGGTCTTGATCAATTATTGTAATCTAATGGCTAAAAATTGGGTTGTATATGGTGTGCAACCTTACGGGGGTTGCACACTTAAACAACGCCCAGTTTGCATTTCCTTGTTTGAAACCGAGTTTTCATTAGTCAGTTTTCATTTCTTGTTGAGGGGAGTTGGTTTATGCCTTCTTTTAAGAGGAAAGCACAACTAGCTTTTGCAGTATGTTTCCCATTAGTTGTTATGCTCTATTTGTTTGGTTCTCCATTGTAAGATAATATTCATTCCATCAAAAGGTTATGAAATAATAATTCTAATTCATTCCAATAAATCAAACATTACATTAGAATTGTAGATTCTTTTTTCAAATTGGCTGAGATTGGGATAGGAATACCATAAATTTGATTTTTGAGAGTGTGAGGTTTTCATAAAAGTTCCATTCATGTAATTGTTGATGCACCTATGAAGCACAGATACTTCAAATATGGTGGTGTATTCGTATCATATCCGTATCGAATATTGACATCTTTGGATATTTGTGGATACATATCGAATACTTATTAAAAGTATTGGATACTTCTTAATTAATTTTTCATTAATTTTAGAGTATCGGATATTTAATTTTGAAGTATCAGATACTCCAAGTCATGATTACTTGTTTTACGAAATTAGAATTGTAACATTTCTTGTATAATATTATAATATAATATAAATGCATAGATAAATATAAGAATATTTTTCTAATACTTTGTTTAGTTCTTTGATATAAATAACATAGTGAGTTAAATAATGGAATTTGTCAAATTGATGTATCCTAATTGTTTCATGCATGTCCCCTATAAATATATATAAAGTAAGAATTAACAAGAGAATATAACAATATTAAATAAATAAGAAAGTAAACTTAAAAATAACATTTTTTACTAGTGCCAAAGGAAAAAGGGGATAAGTTGTGGATTGTTTCATTATTGTAATATAAACATATTAGACTTGATATTGAAATGAAATATTTGTAAGTAGGGTTACAAATGAACCAAACTGTTCATGAACAAACTTGGCTCAACTCGTTAAAAGCTCGGCTCGACTCGGTTCGTTTAGTAAACAAGCCGAGGTCAAGCTCGAATATTAGGCTCGTTTAGTAAACGAGCCGACCTTGATCTCGCATAAGCTCGACTTGTCAAACTTGACTCATTTATCTTTATTTAAATGATATAATAAATATATTATTTATATATTAAATATTAAATAAACACAGATATATAAATATATTATTTATATATTAAATAATATATAAATATATATAAATAATATTTAAAAAAATTATCGAGCCAAGTTCGAGTTTCATTAATATTAACGAAACAAGCCGAACTCAAGTCGAGTTCCTTATCGAGCCAAGCTCAAGTTCAATAAACGAGCTCGATAAGTAATTAAGCCAAGCTCGAGCTCGGTAAAGCTTGGCTTGGCTTGGTTCGTTTGCAACTCTATTTATAAGACCTATTGAAAATTTGAAAGGTAAACAAGCTACTAGTTTAAATGAATAGCTAATTCATAAATATTAGTATTTGGTATTTTTAAATTACATTGTGATTTCTCAACATTCTTTAACTTATATGTAACTCACTACTAATAATTTTAAAAAATATATTTTTCATAAACGTATCATAACTATACCCGTATTCAATTTTTTTCGATTTTATCATATCATCGTATTTATATCTTATTTTTTAAAATTTTATCGTATTATCATATATGTATATCGCGTCCATATTCATCCTTCCTAAAGCATCGCGTATAATTAAGAATAGTTCAATTTTATAAAATACCCTTGTCAACAAGGTCACATAATGGAATATTTTCATTTTTTTATTTTTTGGTAAGTGGGATATGAGAGTATCATTCACTCTATTTTGTTTCAGTTTTCAAAATTTACTTTTTAGAAAATTTTACTTTTCATTTTTTGTATTTTTTTGTTTTTACTAATTTTTTTTAATATTTTTTTAAAAAAAATTAATTTTTAGACACATCTAACATGAATACACTTAAAAAGTATAATATTTGTAAAAAAATCCTTAAAAAATTCACTAAATACCAAAAATACAAAAAAAAAAAGAGAAGGAAATTCAGTATATTTTTCATATTTTTGTATATTTATTAATTTTTTAAAATATTTTTCATAAATATTCTATTATTTAGATACATCTAAATAAGGTGCATTAAAAAAATTTTAAAAAAAATATTGTTTAAAATTTTAAAAATATTCATTAAAAATAAAAATATATAAAAAATAAAAAACTCAATTTTCAAAAAACTGAAATTAAAAACACTGATTAGCCTTCGTTTGGCAACTTGGGTTGGGTTGAGTTTGGACCTATTTTAGTCACAAAAAGACAAATAAACTTTTTAGCTTGATAAGACAAAATGTTACATCTAACTCATAATCATTACATTCTTTCTCTCACAAAAAGTCAAAAAAAATTATTCCAAATAAAATTTTTTAATCACAAACTAAAAATATTAAAAAGTTAAAAAGTGTCACGACCCAAACTCGCCTCTATAGGTTTAGCGTCATGACCGGCTAGTAATCATAGATTACTTACGGGCTCCATACAAATAAACCTTTAATGTAAAGAATCCATCAATTGAGCAATGCATATATGAGGAGAGCAAATATAATAAGCAAGGTTTTGTTTCAAAGTTACATCCAGCATAAGTACAAATTCATATCTTACAAAATACAACCCCAACTATGTACAAATACAAAACCATTAAACCACACAAAAGGGTTCGACAAGCATGGCTCCACCCAAGCCTGATTACTTCACTTCAAAGCTCTACAAAAGGCTGACCCGGGTAAACTCGAGGCTATCTAACTCTGATATTCAGTTTGCCCACCTACAATTCCATATATAAATAAATAGTGAGCTAGAGCCCAATGAGTAACAACAGAATAAAGAGGTTAAATGAATGAAGTTCGACAATAGTACAAAAACATGTCTTACAATTTCGAAATGAATCTTAAATCATTTTCCAAGGAAGGCATTTGCCACATTAGATCAAATTCACAACAAAACATTTCAATTAGCAATAATAGCATCTCTTTACAGTAACAAAAGCCATTCGTAACGTTATATGTGGTACATCCATGAAGTGACAAATAATATTCCAATGATAACGAATCATACTGGCCATGGTATTGTTACCCCCAAGCAAGGGCCTAGTCATGGCATTGTTACCCCCAAGCAAGGACCTAGTCATGGTACTATTACCCCCAGGCAAGGGCCTACATTCAATGGATGCCACAGTATCGTTTCAAAACAGAACTTCATTCATTAGAGGACATAACATTTCAATTAGCCATGCTATCAATTATCAAATCATTTTAAAAATTCATTCAAGCAATCACATATCCATTTTGATAGCAATAACATTTTCGAAAGTAAAGATAAATTGAACATATCTTATAAGGTTATTACTCACAAGGGTTCACGGTGACACTAAGCCTCGGACGTCCACCTAAACAAAGCACATAACAAAATACAAATGAAACTCTATTTCATTTTAATTCAATTCTCTTTATGCATCTCTCACTTATTGTATGATTATCGGAGTCCAAATGGTGCCTAAGAATGCTTGGAGTGGTATGAGGATGCAAATATACACTTAAAGAGTTGGTAAAATTTTGCTGAAAACAGGGTCTCCGCTCGAGCGCAACTTCCTACGCTCGAACGGGGATTAAAAAACAAAGGTGGTCGCTCGAGCGGTCTGTAAAAGTACTGGATACATGAAATTCCCGCTCGATGGTCGCTCGAGCGGAAGACTAAGAAAAAAGGTCCTCGCTCGAGCGCCACTTTGGTCGCTCGAGCGGACTGTAAAATTTCAGAAACTTCTAGGAGCCCAGATTCCATGCTCGAGCGTGGTTTCCCTCGCTCGAGCGGACAACATGAATTCTAGAATTTCCAAAACTGTGTTTGACGTTCAAACATGGCACTCAAAACTTCAAATCTTGTGTTTTTGGTATAAAAACATGGAGAGTCACTATATAAAATGAAAACACTTCCAATTTGAACCCATTTATTCAAAATCATGGTAATTTCCCAACCAATGATTCCAACCTCAATTTATAAAATAAGTTTAACTCAATTTGAGTATGCATTTCTTCAAAACATGTTCAAAATATGATCAATGGCATGAGAGGCATGAAAACATGAAGGATTCTCCAAATTAAGGTGTAAATGTGCCATGCATGTAGGAATTTCTTGAATTCTAACTCAAATTATGCATGCATGTGTATAATTCAACTCCAATTCATCCTATTCATAACAACTCATGCTCAACCTATTCAAATTCAACCAAATTATCCTATAACTCCATGAATTTAGTTTCTACATGATTCAATTCTAAGAATTTAGGATGAATCTCATACCTAATGTGTGAATTCAAGTGTGTTATAG